GTGGTGGGTTGGGGGGGGGGGGAGTTGGAGGAGGAGGATGTGCAGATCATCGTAATAACATTTGGCTTTTGAAAATAATAAACGTAAATCTGACAATGCTTGTACTGCATCCATTTACGATCAAAGGCCATTATTACGCGAGTGAATTTTTCAACTCCGGCGAATTCCGACGCGAGCTTTATGCAACAGACACGCCGTGGAGTTATAAAAGTGCTATTTATAGACACGGAAATAATACACTCAATGTATAGCGAAACTTCTCGGCGCTTTGTTATTTCATAAAAACATTGTGAACGCGTAGTATCAATATAAAAATTGCTATAATAGAGGCTATTGGTCTCTAATCCTTTTCCACATTGCATAAAGTGTTGCTTTAAAGCTTTGCTTAAAAAAAAAAAAAAAAAAAAAAAAAAAAAAAAAAAAGTATAGCTTAATGCATTAAGGTTACGTGGGAAATTCAGAGTACGTTCTCGACGTGTGTATTTTCGTGCTATTAGTTGGAGATTTTTACAATACGAATTCAAATAGTCACGGTCTATAGTTTTGAGGCGGGAAATCAAATAGATTATAAGCTTTGTACATAGTGCCAATTATTTGTTCCCCTACTCCGTTCGAGATTTTCAAAGTCATAAAACTGATAGAATAAGAAAAGTAAGTGTAGAAAATTAACCTAAAATTTGTTTAATATATTTCATGAATTTAAATTGAATGTTGAGCCGCACTTTGTGTGTAAGAAATTTTACAGCTCATTACAAATGTTGTGGCTGTATTTAATTGCTGTTACATAATTGAAGAACAAGTGCAATTGCTATCGTGGCACTTATTAAAATGATGTACGCTGTCGTCATCGTCATTATAGCTTCAATTATCGAAGTCGTAATTAATTTCATATTTTTACTTGCGAAATAAGAGCTAAAAGCCAAAAACATTGTCTGCACATGCAGTCTGAAAGACCAATTGAAGTTGATGTATTTTTTGGAAAAAGATAAAAATTCAAAGCCTGTGTAAAAACAATGGTGACCGGATGATATTAAACGAATATTACAATTACACGTCTAATTTATCACTTAAAATAGTTTACGAGCGTACGGCTCGCGATGATTAATATTCATATAACGACTCGCACACACATAACGAATATACATTCATTTTACACTTAATATGCTCTCCTGCATGATTCGTGTTTAAAAACGATTGAATTATCATGATTATTCGACAACTGTCTAATTATTAACGAAGCTGCGAAGCTTTCCGACACGACACAACTATCCCCAACTACCATCCCCATCCTTATAGTGTGTATATATATATATATATATATATATATATATATATATATATAAAATAGCGTAACATTCTTAAATGAGATATATTAATTTAGTATATTTGGTGGGGCTGCTCACCGATCCTTAAATCCTGTCCCTCCTTACGTTTAAAGAATAAGAGTGCGGAAGGAATGGAGAACGCGATGCAAGTATTTATTATGAGGAAATGCCTTCTAATAACGTGCGAATGACGGAATGGAGAATGGCTTCAGGTAGCAATTTACGTTTACTGTTTAGTTCGCTGGCGAAAATGTAGGTTAAACGTTGATGGGAATTACGGTCGAAGCGTCGTAACAATATAAGGACTCAATACGATTTGCAAACTCGTCGAGTAGTAGCATTGCATCAAGTTCTTAAGGACTTTTAGTCTTTAATTGTAATATTTTTACATTGATTGTTCCTCCTTTCTCCAAATTGACGTTATTTCATAGTGATGTGCGTGGGTGTGAGCGCGGGCGCGCGCGTGTCCACCATTCGCATGCTCTGCGAGGGGAAAATAAATAAGTGAGTAAGAGATGAAATTATGTAAAAGTACGTGATATTTTATCTATATTATACATTGTATTGTTGCTTTGACTTCAAGATTTCAATGCGATTGAAGAATTGATCAATATCTAAAGGTATTTATGCCGCGTGCAACCGTTTCCAATAAATCTTATCTATTAAAACAATTATATATCCCTAGCAATACAATAGGCTTCACCGAACATTTTATTTCTATCAATAAAATTGCAATTTCCTAACTCGCACGCTCGATCGCCTGTTAGAGCGAGCGTTTTTCTTACAAGGTTAATAATTATACGTTGCTGCATTGCATTTACGCTACATAATAATCATATTTTCAGATACCCATCGGATACGTAATCAATACAATCTTTAATTGCTCGTAAAAGTTTGAAAGCAAGCACCATTCCCAAGGAAATATGTACTATTTTCGATGTTTCGAGCTGAATGTTTGCTGAATGTTGGCTCCTAAGTCACAGCGATAAATACATTTATCACGAATATCCATCCATCCCGACAATCCCGACAATCCCGACAATCCCGACAATCTTGATGATAAATGATAGATAGAGATTGAGAGTTGCCCGTTTTATCACCGGCTGCATTAAAGCGCCTCAAGATGTCCCAGCCATCGCTCGTACATGCACTTTTCAATAAACTCGCTTGGCTAATTATATCATAAACAATCTTCACCATCCAAGGTTATGCATATTATTAAAAGCGATTTTTTGTGACGGTTGTTGTTGCAGGGCAGTGAAAGCGTTTCAGCAGGTGCTATGGGTGGAGCCAGGATTTCCGCGAGCCTGCGAGGTTCACCTACGGCTTGGTTTGATGCTGAAGGTCCATGGTGATTTCGACGCGGCCCTCAAGCACCTGACGCTCGCCCTAATCGACGTCACCACACCTGCTTCTTTTTCCAAGCTCGAAAGTACGTTAAGATTATTATTATATTTTTTACTTTTTAATCCGCGCCTCATTGACGACGACGATCACTTCCACAACTATCGCGGACTTTTTTCACCAGCCCTGGTGAGCGATCCTTCGACGCTTATTAAAGCCATTCGTCA